TCTGGGTTGCCCTTGAAGGCACCACTGTTCCAAGTGGGTGTGTCTCAATCTCCGCAAACCTCCAGGTGTGTGTCCTTTTTCTCCTTTAGACAAACCCAAAGAAAGAGATCCCCGTCTTCGGACAACAATCAGTACACCTTGGACAACCGCCGGCGTCCGGAGGTACTTCCTGGCTGGGGAGACCGGCGACTCACTGGGCCTGCTGGCGGTGGCCTACCTGAGCCGCGGCGGCATGGTGAACCTGAGCTCCTTCTTGGCGCCGGGGCCCAACCAGGCACGGGTGATCCGAGTGGGGAGGGGATGCGAGGCAGGCGGCTTTGAAGAAGCCCAGGGAAACCCAGAGAGGAAAGGGAAGCAATATCCCCGAGGAGAAACTTAATATTGCCATGGACGAGGAGGGGAGTGGGGTGGCCTTGCAAAACAAGATGGCCACCCAAGTCTCGCGTGTCCCGGTAGAAGAAGTGGTTTGTCCGTGGGTCTCTGTCCATGGGTCTCTGGGAAATGTGTTAGGTACATCCTGAGGTCGCAACACTTTGAGAGAATGGTTCCCATCCAGTATCAATCACTCCGCTGTTTCGATGGCCATTTTTGGGTGGGTTTGCAGAATCCCTTCATCCACTTTACTGGGAGGAGGCCATTGCGGGAACGAGTCTCTTTCAACAAGGCTGCTTGGAAAAAGTCAAATTGGCGCAGAGGCTGTTTGGCCCAAATGGGAGTGTGTGAGGCCAGGACTCCCCCAAAACGGTTCGTTGTGTGCTGGTTGGCTTCAAACCATCCCAATAGTTTGACTATTTTGCTGTCCTCTAGAAACACACTCCCAAATGTTTTGCTTGCAACCTGCATGCTTGTGTTCCGTAAAGGTTTGTTCATGTTGGTGTCCCGGAAGATTTTGTTTGCCATCCTTATAGGCTGCCCCGGTTTTCGCCGGTCACTTGCCTCTGGCTTAGGCGGCCAGCATCATTTCCCGCCGAGTGCAGAACTTCTCAGAAGCGTTGTGCCACCCAGTTTTGGCGAAGCAGCTGGGCAAGGCCAGGGGCATGCGTGGAGGTCTGGTTGGGGCCTACTGTGGGGGTAAGGACAACGGGTTGTTTTTGTTTGTGTATGTGCAAAGGGGGGTGATGAACATGGAATGGGAAAGTCAAGAGGCAAAGAGTAGTAAGAAGATCGCGAGAGAGTCATACTCGCAGTCACCGAAACGAAGGGTCTGGAGAGATCCGCAGCGGCCCCTAAAGGAGCAATCCCACTGACAGGTGTGTTCTGAAACTGCTAGCGGTCAGGACTCCCAGTCCCAGGACTCCACATCAAGGCTCATTCAAAAACACCTCATGCAGTCTCGAGGAAACCGACAGATACAGTGTGAAAGAACTAGTTCTTTTGCAGATGGTTAGATAGAAGATGATCCAAAGCTGGTCTTCAATGTGCGCTTAGTTGGCTCTTTTAAGGAGGGTGGAAGGCTAGTGCGTTGCATGCACTTGCACCACTCAGTATGTCGAGCTGACGTGACGCCCCCTCTTGATAGGGATTCTTCGAGAGGAACTCACATGCTCATCCACGCCCCTTCGGCATTGCCTCGGCTCGCGTCGGAGGTGGCGGAGGAGGTAGTCCAGGAAGATTCCTGGGGCCCAGTGCCAGGGCCATTGCCGCACGCTTGAAACGGGGAGAGCATGAGTGCCTAACTTGCCGTCCATTTCGGAGGGTCCCTCGAGGCACTCAAGTATATTTTGTCTGCAACTACAAGAGCCAACGGGACTCGCAACTTCAGGGCAATGCACATGTTTGACCCGGCAAGGCCCATGGCCTTTGTAGAGACCAACGCCACTGGGGACGGGTGGAATCGCAAGAAATGTGGAAAGACTGCGAGGCCGCTCTGAAAATCATCTGATTTGGGTAAGGCGTATTTGAAATTGGGAACATCACTCATTGCAAAGAGAGTCAATGGCTCAGCTTCGCCATTTTGTTCTTCCCCAGGTCCGCGTCTTCCGGCGCTTCGGGAGACGCGGCCTTCGTGGCGCACGCCCTGACGGCGCCCGGCGCCTCCGGCGCAGAGGTGGCGCGGGCGGCGCGCCTGCTGGAGACGCAGGCGGTAAGGGAGGACCAGCTGCCGCAGGCAGCGCGGAACCGCAGCCGGGGGACCCAGAGAGAGACCTTGCCGAGGGAATGTCGTTTGCAAGACACGGCTGTCCCTCGGGCGGGCGGGGGGCAATTCATTTTGTCAGATGTATGTAACGAGGCTTGTCAGTCTTTTCTTCATCAAAGACACGGGAGCCTCTTTGCCTTCCATCAACATGTCCCTCTCAAGCGTTGTGTTTCTTGTCATCATTGCCACGTCACCTTCCTGCATAGCAGATGTAACTTCTGGAGGAGCACATTTGGACCGGATTCCTCTTTGCAAGCCACGCTTTTAGGGTTTAGGGTGGGAAGCTTGCGTTTTGCCTTGTAACAAAGTATTTTGCTTTCAACACCCCATCAACCAAGCCAACCACAAAAGAAAGATGGACTCAAAACACACCCGCAAACATCAGCATGCCTTTCAACGGGGTGGTTCACGCAACAATGACAGCAAATCAATTCAGCAACCAAGTCCGCATCCAGCACCATATGAGTTCCATGTGAGACTTACGGGCTAGGTTTCCCTTTGCAGCAGTTGTTTGCTTTGAACGCTGCGGTGTAAATCAGCAGTACAAACATCAAACAATCAAGACCCACCAAGAGTCACCAAGATCTACCGACACCCCCAGCGCCACCCGCCAAGACCCAGCACCACCCACCAAGACCCACCAAGACCCACCAAGACCCACCAAGACCCACCAAGACCCACCAAGACCCACCAAGACCCACCAAGACCCACCAAGACCCACCAAGACCCACCAAGACCCACCAAGACCCACCAAGACCCACCAAGACCCACCAAGACCCACCAAGACCCACCAAGACCCACCAAGACCCAC